TTGCTGTGAAGAATCAGCGTCTCTATCGTAGAAAACCAAGTCGCCTCTGAGAACTTTAACATAATGTTTAAATATGTTGAATGTTGATTTCATGCTAAAAAACTACGGATAAAATCTGAGTTGTGTGGATCCTCAGAGGACCCACGATGGTTCCCTGAGGAACCCCTTCACTGTAAAGTTTCCGTGGACATTGGAGAGATATTTAAAAGTTATTTTATAGTCATTCATTATTTCTGAAATCCTCTGTGTGAACTGTTGATCACAGAGGAACTCGGGCCCTGTTGATAAATTAATTGATAATCGATAACTTTTGAATCTGTAACATTTAAATGAATTGTGACAAAAACACCAGAAACACTGAGCCTGTTCAACCGCATAGAAAAATAATTACGCTTAAATCATTATTTACAAAACAGTTGTCGTGAGTTTCAAAAGAAACAGAACAATGTTCAATAAAAAAAAAAGTAAAATACGAAATAAAAAAATAAAATCATTCACCTACAAACATCCCTGGTTCATAACACGTTTCACTGAATGATGTTTTCTCTTCTGTTGTGAATATGAATCATTTTACAGTTTTGATATTTGAAACCAGAAAAATAAAAACATCGGAGTGAACATTCACCTGCTGTCATAAATATCCGAACCCGTCTGCTGCTCGGCGGCTACACTCCGCTCTTCTCCTTTATCCAGCTGCGGTATTTGGTGACTCGGGTGTAGATGCCGGGTCTGTTCCTGCGAGCACAACCGTCGCCCCAGCTCACCAGTCCGGCCAGGAGGACCCGCCCACTGGGGCCTGTGACGGACAGCGGACCGCCGGAGTCGCCCTGAGACGTCAGAGAGGAACAGTTTACCGTAGAACCAACACAGTGTTCCAGTTGTTATGGTGTAGTATGGAATCATGTGATTGGTTCGTACCTGGCAGGCGTCCACGCCTCCTTTGAGGACTCCGGCGCACAGCATCATGTCCGTGACCTCGTCGTTCATCAGATTCTTACACACTGTGGCGTTAACGATCCGAACCTCCGCCTTCTGCAGGATCATCGCAACTGAGCCTGGACGACAAGACGACAGATTCTGAGCCAAGAGACGATTCAGCTCAAAATTCAAATATCTTAATAAAATAAAAGATAAAGTTATCGTTTGTGTGACAGTCACGAAACTGTTTAAAATCTAAACCTCACGTCATCATGGATCATCCCCCACCGGCTGCCATGAGATGTAATACACAACTTTCACCACTAGATGTCAGCGCTCAAACACGTTTGACTTTAGATTGCAGCAGTGACACTAACTATTGATATAAATACTTATACATCATGTTCTAAGTGTTATATATAGATATTTACATATATTTACAAGAACCATTATTTACTGGAGTAAATTGAACAGATCCCAGAAGAGCTGGAATATTTAGTTCCAGCTCTTCTGCAGGAATCAAACCAGAGATTAAACCTGAGAAGTGAGTGAAATATCTAATAAACACTTTTAATTAAAGACGTATGATTGTTTCTTTTAGTTTTATTAATAATTCTCTTTCTGTGGCTCGAGTTTCGCTTCCTATCCACATCCGTCACTTTGCCACCGTCACTGTGGCGTTTATCACCTGTCAGGCGATTGTTTTGCTTACCTCCCTCTCTGGTGGCGCCCCAGCCGGTGATCCACGCCACTTGGCCTTCTGGGAAGTCGTAGGTGGGGGAGGGGAGGCAGATGGGCCAGATGTTCTGGTTGAGGGTGACGTTCTTGTCCAGCTCCATCAGGGCGATGTCGTTGTTGTAGGTCATGGAGTTATAGTCCTGGTGGGCGATGATCTGCTTTATGTTCCTCCTCACTGTCCACTCATTGGTCTGACTCTGCACGTGCAGACCCAACATGGCCTCCCATTGGTCAGCCTGAGAGTACCTGCATCAACACACAAACCTGAGGTCAGAGCTGAAGAGAACCGACATGATGTCTGAAGTTGAGCGTCTGTGTGAAGTGGTCAGAAAAACGCTTCATGGACGAGCTCCTACTTGTTTGGTCCGTTGTCCTGGACGCAGTGGGCGGCGGTCAGCAGCCAGCGGTTGTTCAACACCGAGGCCCCGCACACGTGACCCGTGCCCCTGATGTGGAGGCTAACCTGCCAGGGCCACTCGCCCTCCCGCGACATCTGACCTCCTACGATACGCGAGCTTCTGTACGGCCTCGACCCGCACTCTGAGAAACACAGAAATGAGACAAACACGGGGACGTTACCAGTGATGTCACTGTGAGATCAGCTGTCCTCTGCGTGTTTCTGTGTTCCTGACGTACGACAGTTATCCTCGTCCGAGCCGTCCTCACAGTCCGGCTCTCCGTCACACTCCGGGTTAAGTTTGCTGATGCAGCGTCCGTCCCTGCAGCGGAAGGTGAACTCTGAACACTGCTGCAGTACCAGAGCTAAACAACAGGAGGTGCACACCATCAGTACTGACACTAAACAGGTTCCGGCTGATTCAAACGTTCAGAGTTGGAGTTTTCTTTTCATTGTGTCTGTGTGAGTGCAACCGTTTGTGAAATCAGGTGTTCCCTTACATCTTTCACATTTGGACTCGTCCGACCCGTCGGCACAATCGTCTTTTCCGTTGCACTTTAACGTCTCAGAGATGCAGAGACCATTTCTGCAGGAAAACTCTCCCTGTTTACACTTTTCTACAAAGAAGCAGAAACATCACAGCAGTGAGACGATCAGCGAGGAAACTGTTTCTAACCTGGAAAACGATGATGCTGAACTTTACTTTAATAAATTCAGTTTCAAGTCGAGCAGAAGAACCTGAGTCCACATGAATTCATCTGTTTGTCTGGAGGTTGTATTTATTCAGACGTGACTTGAACCCACCACAGTTTTCTTCATCCGTCCCGTCTCCACAGTCGTCAGAGCCGTCACACTCCCAGAACTTTGGTTTACAGCGTCCATTTTTACACTTCATCTGAGCCTCGTTGCACTCTGAGCACAAACACACACAAACGACAGCAGTGGGTCAGCGTCTCTTCATCTGCTGGACTATTTCCAGCGGTGGATTAATGAACAGTTGGAGCTCGGTGGACTTCTAACAGCAGCAGGATGTACAATAACATCTAATATAATAATAAATGGAGCTGCTGAGACCGAGCTCTTCATGTAAAACACATTTTAACAGACGTCTGATGGTTCAGGGACTCACCGCAGTTGTTCTCGTCGCTGCCGTCTCCACAGTCGTTCCAGCCGTCGCACTGCAGAGTCGTGTTGATGCACAGGTTGTTGGTGCACTGGAATCTCCCCGGACAAGCTGATCAACATCAATGAAAGAAGTGAATGAGTCTAAAATAAGGAGGTAAAGTTGAGAGACGAATATAGAGAATAATAGAGAACATTATCTCTCTCACGGTTGGTCGGGACGAAAGCTTCATACTCGGCAGTGAAACCCTGATCGACGTAGGACGAGTCGGAGTTAAACTTGATGGTCATCGTGTTGCTCTGGCTGGTGATTACTGTGTTTTTCAACTTCCTGCCACAAAGTCTACAACACAAAGAGACAAAGGATGCGTTCAGGTACGAGGTTCTGTGGACACGACGACATGTATCTGGAGGACACACTCGTTATTCTTCACTTGGGACTTGTTTGTCTTTGTCTTTGCGTATCTAAATCACCAGCGGTGCCAGAGTCTCATGATGTGCTCGTCAGATACAGTCAAAGTCTCAAAATCTCAGTATTGACAGAATCTAAAGCCACCAGGTCTGTTTCTGCTCCGACCTGAACATGACAGATTGTGGGACAAAGACCACGGGGGACAGAGAAGCAGCAGGAGGAAGTCGTAACACAAACCACGAGGGAGGGAAGCTGCTGACCTTTTATCGTCGACTTTAACATAATCCTCAGGACACTGGTTACTCTGATTTCCCAGGAGGAACTTGCTGAACTGAACCTTCACAAACTTTTCCACGGGGACCTGAAGACGAGACAGAGACAGAAGGGGTCAGCAAAACAACTGGTCGACACAACACTGGGGCCGCAGCAACTGATCGACTTCATTGATTAGAATCGAACAGTTTGCAGCTAACTCAGTGATCCATTAGTGGGCTCCTGAGCAGTAAACCATCCCAACACGTCGTCACAAGTGTGAAAAGCCCTCAGAGGCGTCAGCTGCGTGAAGCGACTTCACAGCAGCAGCACAACGTCACTGTGGAACAAAGCTGAAGAGAAAACAAGATGGAGGTCTGCTTCGTCTTCGTCTCTCAGTTCACTGGAGCGTCGGAAACAACTTCCAGGTTCAATCTCTGATAATCTGCTGCTGCGTCGTTTTGAATTCAACTGTAACTAATAAGAATTATCGTTGAAGATTCATTCTGTTTGAACTTCTGCTGTTCAACATCTGTAATTACACCTACAGTATATTATATTATTATTATCCAGATCAAGATTTATTTTAAGAAACCTTAAATCAAGTCTGAACTTCTGAGAATGGTGTTGTAGATATAATGAACTTGAATTAAGTTGCAGACGTCTACTATACATATAAAAACAGCGTTGTACAGGAAGAGGAAGTAGCTTTTATCTTTTTATCTGGTTAACAATCGATTGATTAATCGATCACCATAATAATCCTTCTGTGCAGCCCTACACAAACTATCACACCATCAGCTTCTGAAGCAGTTTGACAACATTTGACTCTAGAGGATTCAAGCTCGACTCACCTCGATGTTCCAGACACACGAGGTCCGTGGAGGATAATTCGAGGGGAAGAAAGGTGAAGAGACGGAGCCTTTGTCTCCGCTCAGTGTTCCTCCACATTCTGCACAGAGACAAACACACTTTACACAGGTCGCACAGTCGTAACCCGGAGGTCAGGGGTCAGAGATGATACTGAAACAATGTGATGGATAACTTCACACAAAACATGGACTCAAGAGGTTTAGTGAAATAAAAAATAAAAAATCAGTACCACAAAAGAAGTGTTTCATATTATATCATATCTCACTACTTCAAACTGCACGTTTCATTCTGCTTCATCCTTTGTGTTGACCACTTGTTATTCTACTCAACATCTCTGATCACAGGTTTTACTCTTCAGTGTTTCCTGTCGTACTTTGTTCGGTCAGAGGAATCTGGGAGTAGTTTGCTCTGAAGCCGGGGAAGTTCTTCTCCTCGTCGGTGACCAGCGTCAGCAGCATGACGTTTCCAGACGACAGGAAGGAGAGCGAGCCGTGAGGGTAACCGCACTGTCTGAGGAGAGGACACACAAACACACCGTCAGTCCCCGTGTCCGCTGAGAGACTGGACGCTCTGGTTTCAGTTCGGTCAACGTTCGGCAGCATCTCACTCTGTCAGAGCGCGGTGTTCTATCGGCGCCAGCGAGTCGTAGATCTTGATGAAGTCTTGCTGACAGTCGTCCTCCAGGATCAGAGTGTGGAAGTCCAGCCGGACTCGGTGGCCGGGGTCGGCCCGAAACCTCCACATCAGGTAAACGTTCGATGGGTACGAGGAGTCTGGAAACCCTGGAGACTGGACCACCCCCGCCTTGCTGACATGGACGTTGAAGGACTCCCCCACTGAGAATAAAAGACGAAGTCTGGATATAAAACACTAAGAACATCAAGACGGAGAATTCTGAAAAGATTTTGATTCATAAATCAAAACTATTAATAAATATATAACCCTTCAATAAAACCTAAAAGTTAAAGCTTGAAAAAACTTCCACGAAGAAGGATTTTAACTTCTCACCTTGTAACGACGTCCTCGTCATTCGTGGATCGATCACTGTGAGAGCATGAACAGAAAATAAGGTTTTCATTTTCTGAGGAACGTTTCAGTTTCAGTTTCAGTGTTTAAAGAAGTCTGGTTCCACTGGAGACAAATAAAAAGCTGAAGAAACAGAGTCACAGAGAATCTTTGGTCAAACAGCCGATAAGAGTTCTGAGACTGTTTTTGCAAAGTTGTGTTTTGTAAATAAAGTTTGTTGTGATGAAAACATCCTGTATAAACACCCCGGTGTGTTCCTGATGTGAACTTTGACCTCGTGAGATGACGTTGTTGACGCTCAGAGCGTCGACGGGTTTCAGCAGCACTCGTCCCTGTCGGCCCTGCTGACTCGAGGGCTCCAGGGACTCGATGGCTTCGTCCAGCGCCCCCTGCTGGGGGACGGGGATGTCGAACTCTGACTGGTAATACGCCACCAGGCTGTCGCTGCCACCTTCTCCCTCACTGCGGAGCAGCGGATTGAGAGTTCAGACTTTAATGTGAAGGGTTCAAACGTTTTTGTTTTAAATTAAATGTGAAGCGCCTCGTACCTGAAGGCCTGGACGGACGAACCTTTAAAGTATTTGGTCAGAACTGAGTTTTTAGAGTAAATCAGCTTCAGCTGAAACAGACAGAGATCACACGTCATCAGGTCAAAACAGGAAACCAGAAGAGAGGAAGTGACGAGAGTTAGCGTGAACTTCTGTCGTTTACTGGTATGGAGAACTCCCATGATGCTCTGGGGGGTTTGTGAGATCTCACCTGTCGGCTGACCAGAGTGGCCATGCTGGAAAACTGTGGGCTGCTGGGATCTTCGTACGCCGGCAGGAAGCGCTGGTCACCGATTCCCATCGAGCCGATGTAAACTCGCTTCACTCTGACGTCGCTGCGTACTGACGCAAAGAGACGACGCAGGTTAGAGTCCGACCGTCTGTACATCACCATCAATAACTAATAAAGGATTTAAGCTGGTCTACACAAAAATACAAAATAATGCAAACTTTTCAAAATAAAGTGTTTCACAAAGAAGGACAAATAAAGAAAACGCTCAGAATCAAAGTTCTGTGTCAACTGTTCATTTCTCTGCTCAATTAGAAATTGTGAAACTCGTTCTGCCGCCTCCCGAGTTGAACCCGTCAACCCCCCCCCGTACAAATAAAGGTTGTTGAAATCAGCTCACAGTGGAAGTGCCACACCAACAGGCCCGTCAGCAGAGACACGGCGGCGGCTGAGAACACGAGGCCGAGTCCGATCCACAGCTTCTTCCTGCGTCCGGATTTCTTCTCCAGGTGCTTGGTGTCTGCGGCCGGCAGGAACTGCAGGGTCGTGTCCCAGTCACTGTCCTGAGGACAAAGAACCCAACCAACTCAAAATGATGTTTTCATTTCTATAAATTGTGTCTCACAGGTTTTTATTTATATATTTCTACTAACAAGTACAGCTGGAACTCTTAACTACCGTCTGTTTTGTGTATAATTTTGGAGGAAGTGACTCTTTACGCTGCTCGTCACTCGACAACATGCTGCTTTAAAAAAAACTCATGATGCCGACGTTAAAGAAAAACTGTGAACCTGTTTGACTCAGTGAGGCAGGGTGTGTGTGGTGTGTGTGTGTGTGTGTGTGTGTGTGTGTGTGTGTGTGTGTGTGTGTGTGTGTGAGGAATGTGTTCACCTGTCATGTCCTGTCTCCTCCTAGAGAATCAGATTCACAAAGAATCCACACCCTGTTACACTGAAGCTGAAGCTGAGGTGTGAACCGTGAGCAGACTTTAATCACCGAGCTCATTGTGAGAAGAACTGATGGTGAATTGATCATTTTAAATAAAAAACATTTGTTGGTTCTTCTTGAATTTTAGAGTCTGTAGTTTTTCTCCTCAGCTCTGATGACACCTGCTGCTCGGACCTCACTTTTCTATATCTGTGTCGTTCACATGTGGAAATCAGACGGACGAGCTGCTCGTCTTTATTCTACATGAACTCACTTGACACCACTTCCTCCCGTCGTGCACATGAAGCTGAAACCTCTCGGATGTGAACGCTGTCGTCTCGCACGCTGTCGTCTTCACGGTCGTGGAGCGGCCTCAGTACTGAACCGTCCTGTCGTCCATTTTTATTTACAGTGTGTGGTTTGGACCTCGATCACAGTTATTTATAGTGATGGGAGTAGAATGGAAGTTTCCCGCCCTCAGCGTGACAGCGGAGGAAAATGGCCGCCATGTCAATATTGACTTTCTTATTAAAAAACAACAACTACAGTGAAAATGAAAACCTCTTGTGACGTGAACTCTGTGAATTCAAGCTGCCGGAGTTCTTTGTGAAGTTACCGAAGTCGGCTGCTCGTCACAAACTCGTCGAGCTGCAGCAGGTTCATCGCTTCCTTTGGTCCCCGGAAACTTTTCCACCGTCGTTTTCACCAAAACCAACGTGTTTCTGTGTTTACACGCGTTCACACTTCATGATGCAAAACTGATGAAGACGCTCTCTAGTACATTTTGTATTTGTTTTCTTAATTTGTTGATGTCTCTCATGATACAGTCAGTTTATATGGACCTACTGACCAACAGACAGGAGATATATAGTCTATTTACTGGCTGGAGGTCAGTAGGTCCATTTAAACTGACTCTCTCTCTCTCTCTCTCTCTTTATATATATATAGATATAGATATATATAGATATAGATATCTATATCTATATATATATCTATATATATGTACACGCAGCAGTGGAGCACCACAGATAAGAGCAGTTTAACAGTCTCCTTGATGTTGATCGTGTTGATCTCAGATTAAGTCTCTGTTTAGTTTCTGCGATACTGAGAGAGCTGTGACGTCACAGCGACACTCACCTGTCTCGGACTGAACTTCTGTCCCGAGTCCAGTAAATCCATGACGTCAAAGATCCTCCGGGTCCCGCTGGTTCTACGTTAATCCTCAACTTGTTGGTTTTTTTTTTACCCGTGATCCTTCATAGATGACGACGACAGGTGAGACAGGTGAGACAGAGACAGGTGAGACAGGTGAGCTGACAGGTGTCTCCCTCAAAGTGCAGAGCCGGTGTGAGTTCGATCTTTAAGCCGAGCTTCAGGTTCTATCTCCGGGTATCGGTACCGGCGCCGGGTCGGTGTCGCGGCGGGTTGAACCGGGCTCGAACAGCGGAGGAACCAGAGGCGGAGACGCACCCGAGGACAAGAACCCGGAAACAGGGTCCGAGACTCTGACTGGAGGAGATTGGTCCCCGCGGGTGGACACCTGAGCCCAGCCTTCCCATGATTCATTGCGCGACCGAAACCGTCGCAGCTGCTTTCATCATAAGTCAGAAACAGAAACAAAATGACGTAATACGAAACCTGTGAGACCTGTGAGAGAAAAATAAAAAATATTAATTATTTTAAAAACTCGTCTGTTTATTTTTCTAAAATCCGAATAACGATACTTAAATTATTTAAATGGAGAAAAATACAATGAAACGAATAAAAATCTGATTTGAATCAGGATTTAATGGGATTACAATATTTTAATCCTAATTTTATTTTCTGACTTTTTAAATCTTTATTTCCTTTTTATACCCCCCCCCCCCTCCAAAAAAAAAGCTGGTGCCAATCGATCAACATTTAAAAAACTTTAAAAAACTGAAACGCTGCAAAATATGAATTAAAAAAATATATACATTAAAGTTTAAAGTAAGAATTATGGGATGAAAGACTGTAAATTTACCAACGGTGTGTTTACATTAATTAAAAGTTTGAACATAAAATGGAATCACACAGTTAATTTCCTTACTACTTAAATTAAGGCAATGTTTTGTATGTGAGACATTTTTTAAAATAAATTCATATCATTAAAACTCAAACAAATACTTTTTTTAAAGCCAAATATAACGAATCAGTAATTTTCCTCAAGGAAAATGATTAAAACCATGAGTGACAGTCCAGAAGAAAACTCAGCACACGTCTTCTGGTTTCTGTTTCTTTATTAGTGGAATGGAATATACACCTCTGTGCTTTAATGCTGTTTTCTCCTTCACTCATTCACCTCCACTCACTCTCTCTGAGACAGAACATCACCATCCGTCTCTCCACTGGACCAAACGCCGTCACGCTGAAGTGCCGCTTCTCGTCTGTCGCTCTGTTTACAAGAACAACACCAGTGTGATGCTTGTCTTCTACAGTTGAAAGGCGGGAATCAAACCTGTGACCTTTACACTTCCTCTTCTGACGAGCAACCAGCACTTCAGACAAACGTCCAGTGAAACGTTTTCAAAATAAAAGCAGCTGATAGACAGTTAAAGAGCAAACAAACAAAACTTCACATATTATCTGTGAAAAACCTGAAATGACTCATCACATGGAACAAAGAGAGTCGACTAGAATTCTGATCTGGAGTCGATCGTATCCATCAGTCGGTCAAAATACAAACTTTGAGCTTTGAGCAACTTGAAACTGGAATTCGTCGATAATGAGCTCAACAATACAAGAATCATTCAAGATCAATAAAAAATAATCCCCCGAAACTTCTCCAGATGTTTCCTGGAAGTAAAGATAAAACTTGTTGTCATCAACAAATCGAACAGACTCAGTAGATTTCAGTGACAGTCGTGATCTCCATGGTAACCGTCCATCCTCAGTGGAAACAGATTCTCCGCTGACGTCACGGATTTTAAAGTAATTACCCAGAAAACGTTTTTTTTTCCTGGCGCGAGAAGTTCGGACCCAAAAACTGAAGCAACAAATTCATCTTAAACTGTTTGTACGGACATAAATTCATCATGAGGGTAATTTGACACAGACTACATCATATTATAAATTCTAACTACAGTATTTTAATGTGTTTGATAATTTTGGTCATAAATTGATAAAATCGAGGAGATTAAGGCAGAAATTAAATTGATTAAAACTCAACTACAGAGGTAACTCATTAATGTGCAGCTATCAGAAACTCAAAGTCAACTTTTTTTTTCTGGAGCTTTCGACTGCCTCCGAGCTTCGTCATTCACGCTGATAGAGAAGTGAGACACTAGCTGTTTTCACACTTGACCTCTGGGTAAAATCCGAAGGTCCGCTGCCTCTAACGAGACACAAAGCTCTGGAAAAACACGTGAGTGGACTTTGAGTTGAGTTAATTTTATCAAACAGACAAATGTGTATAATCTGGCGATTAAAGTAAATGAACTACGCGTCAACATGTTACAAATAAATCATGTGATGGGGCTGAATGTAGCACAGACATCGTAACAGTTGATGAATGAGATCAGATTCAGTGGTGAACTTCCTGTTTAGCCGGGCGTTCACGTAGACAACCACGTGCGTCATTTGCATAATTGTTGACGTACTCGCTGTTTACGATGCGTGTTACCGGAGTGTTCCACCAGAGGGCACACCGCAGAACTCAGACCGTATAGAACGTCAGGATTTTCACGTAGACAGCCACGTGGGTCATTAGCATAATTGTTGACATACTCGCTGTTTACGATGCGTGTTACTGGAGTGTTCCACTAGAGGGCCCACCACAGAACTCAGACCCTATGGAACCTCCGGATTTTCAATCTGTAAAAAGTCGACACTCGACACACGATGCCTCACAGCTTCTTGCGGATGCTTAGCGTTAATTTGCCGTGATTGAAACGCAAATGTCAAAATGAAGTTTATCTCCAGCTGAGGATTTAAACTCAGAGAAACAGGCGGCGTGTTCGGTCTCCTCTCTGTCGTCTCGCTTCAAAAAGAAAACAGATAAAATACCTATAACGGTATCCATGCATATTTGTGACTGCTCATCTTACAAACACACACGCGCTCACACAGACGCACACACAAACACCCGCTGGCTCGCACACAAACACACTCACACACACTTTGCATTCTGGCGAGGAGCATGCCTGAATGATTTTTTATTTTTACTTTTGAAATCAATAATTTATTAATAATTATTTCTTCTAACGTACACGTCTCTGTGGTGCAAACACTCGTCTTGAAAAGTTTGGGGTCGGGGGTCGATGAGGAAACAAACCAACGACTGATAGAAGAACAAAATAAGTCGTCATGCAAAAGAACGGACGATGAGACCCCCCCGCTGTGTCGTGTTGTTTTTTTTTCTTCTTCTCTGATATGGTTGATAAATTGATCAGAAGTGCTACTTCTACTGTACGAGGCTCATGCACGGAAGGACGCCATCACATACCCGACGACTTCCATCTCTATCTTTTTTGTTTTTTGTTTTTTTTGGGGTTTGGGGATTTGATTGGAAGATGCAGGTGAACGTTTATGATACAAAATATGTTACAGTATGTACGTCTTGTCTCCTCTGGGTCTCACTCACACTTTGAATGGTCGAGGAAATGCTTCACGCGAACGCTCACAGCCGCGGTGACGCGTCTCTGATCGTTTTCAGCCGCGACACAAAAACACACAACGACACAGATTTAATTATTGAGGAAAGTTCATTTGAAGGAGAAAAGTTTCTCCCTGTTCCACTGATTTAATCGAAAATCTTTCGTCAGTAGTGTTTATACCTGAAGTACATAAAGTGGCTGCAGTAATCCTTGTTGTGTGGAACGTTGACCGAGAGGTTGAACTAAATCCAGTGGAACAAAGATAAACAGGACTTATTTTACTACATTTTCAAATTTGCATAAATCTGTAGTTTTAATAGAGGTAACGTTGCGTTTCCTTTGGTCGCCTGTTGGTGGCGTCACATCTTCTTTGTGCATGTATCAGCTCAGTGTTTGTTAAAGTCAAAAGTGACTTTTTATCTAGTTTTTACTTTTCAGATCTTTATTTATCTACTCTATATTTGAAGCAGATGCAGATTTTAGTCTCTGGATCTTTGTGAGTAAACGTTAGCGGTACCTTTAACGCTTTGATTCTGGACGTATTGTTCTGATAGAGTGACCCCTAGTGGTAAAAAACTTCCAGTTACCATCTGAATCAACGTGCTGAAAACGACCAGAGTCCTTGTCTTCGGGACAAACGTGAGTTTCAGGTGTTTCATTTCTCTTCTCCATTAAATCTATTGCAGAATACTCGTCATGTCGTCTCTCACTGAGACGTTCACATAACAAATACTTTTTTAAGTTGCTTTACATTTTGTTTCCCTGCATTAACGACTTTAGGTTTTCAACACACACATTATTATTATTGATGTTATAATTATTTTCCTGTTCAGAGGTGATGCTATTTTCCTGCGTCTTGTAATGTTGCATATTTGGAAAAGTAAAAGGCTTTCGTTCCCGGTCTGGGACTCGACCAGTTCACATAAGATTCATTCACAACCACTTGGAAAACCAGTAAATCCAGTTCTTCTCAGACTAGTTCAGCTCAGTGTCGATGTGTGAACAGCAAAGATCAGTTAAACCCAGTTCTGTTTGGATTTACATGCATTTTCATGAAACCAGTCTCTGATGAAAGTCGAAGAGTTCTCACTCATGATTTCCTGAAAGCGTGACCTGATGTGACCTCCATCATTTACACACACTCGACTCCATTTGACTCCAGAGTCGTCCCTCATCCTCGTCGAGGACATCGTGACCCATCGTTGGGGGTTAAAACCTACAACTTTTACATCTGAAGCAAAAACAGTCCGACGCTAAATTTGACGTAGCAACATTTCCTCTGCTGCCGGGATTATAAGGAATGAAATGACGCCAAAGTCCGAGTCTGTCTGTCCGTCACCCGTTTCCCACGACAACCAGCTTCTGAAGTATCCAAAAGACCAACATCGCACAAGGGTTTGTCCGTCTGCAATTTGTATCCGATCACAGATGAGCTCAAACCAGCGTCCGGTCGACAGTCTCCCAGATTTAGAAACCAAACCTACGTCAGCGACAAATATCCAAATATACGTCGTTCTCTGGGACGTCCTGATCGTTGGGTGAACGGTTCTCAGGGTTTTGTTGGTGTCATGAGGTTAAGCCGAGTTGTGCAGGGGTCAAGTGCTTGTTGGGGTCATGAGGGGGCGACTCTTCAGACCTATGGAGACGTCCCCGTGTGTGAACTTACCTTGATTTCCCATCGGATGCCTTTTTTTGTGTCATTGTACATTTTGCCTCTTGACGAGAAAATCCCTTTGTCACAAAACCTCCGTCTGCTTTGTCTCCAAAATCTCAGCTAGCAGCGCACCCCCGCACCCCCCCAGTTCAGGGTCACAGAGGGGTCAAGGGGATTTTTAATGTTCACGGTGKGGGGGGGTGGGGGGGGGGACCGGTGGGGCGGCAGGGAGGGAGACAAGGGTGGGTGGAGCTTGCAGGTGAGGTCTGAGGTTATAAGTAGGAGACGTTGATGTTTTCATGGGTGTAGGCGGTGGCGCGGGTGTTGCGCAGGATGCCGGGAATGGGGGCAGGCGACGGGGGGAGGCTCTCATCGGGCGTGTTGGCGGGCGGCGTGGGGATGCTGATGATGGCGGCGGTGAAATCTGGATCCCCACAGTTCAGCTTCAGATTGGTGGACTGGGCGTTGAGACTGGAACGACTGGGACGAAGAAAACAAATGAATAATTAGATGATTTATTCTTTATACATTCATACACAGTCACTGATTCTTTATATATATTCATTGATCATCTTTATGCGAAGTGAAGGATGGTCGTACGTTTGTGGTGGAATGGACGTGGTTTTGATGTGCAGGGTGTCCAGCTCCTGGACGCTCCCTCGGCTGACGGACACCGTGGAGTTGGCCAGTCGCATGGCGGCTCTCCTCCTGGCCCGCCGCGGACAGCAGCCGGTGGAGTTGTTCTGCGCCGCCTGTTGGCTCGACAGGGAGGTGCTGCGACTGGTCCTGAAGCCGACAGACTCGGTCATACACAACTCGCTGTAGTTCATCTCGTCAGTGAACTCGTGGTTCTGTGAAGAGACGGAGGAGGACACGCTGAAGTAACTGAAGAAACACTGAAGTCTTTAACGAAAGAAAGAGATGTTGAAATCTAATATCACTTGTTCCATGTTGTTCCGCGTGTTCCATGTATGTCGTGTGTATTGTATGTGCGTGTTCTGTGTATGAGTGTGTACATGTATGAATGTGGAGGATGTGACTGGTGAGCTGTGTCTCCGTCCTCACCGTCGTTTTCTCCAGACAGTGCAGCAGATGGTGATGTTGGTGCTCGAACGCCGATCTGTTCTTCACACACAGAGCTGTGCTGTCACTGTCCCGGTCCTGCACACACACACACACACACACAGACACACACACACACACACACACACACACACACACACACACACACACAAACACACACGTTTATCAACAGGGGACATTTGCTGTTTTATTTTACACAAACCAAACAGTGACAGAACAAGGAAGAATCAAACGTATGTGTTCTCATCAGTCTGTTTCGTTTATAAATCAGATAAACGTAGATCAGCAACAACAGAACCTGACAGTGGGAAAAACTATTAAAAGACTAAAAACCAAACGTAAAGACTTCTTTTTGCGTCCTGACCACAGAGTCCAGAGAATCCAGATTTATTTATATCAGCAGGAAACAGGAGAAAATACAAATTGTTCTTTTGAAACTTTTCAGATAAAACTTGAGAATTAAACATTAAAAACTTCACCTTGCACGATTTTTTTCAAGAGGCTTAACAGGAAACGCGATGGCACATATTATTAAATTATATAATATTCAAGTCTCTCCTCTCTCGTTTCAGTCTGATCCCCTCCATCCCTCACACGGCTAATCTCTCGTCTTTTTCTTCCTGCTTCCTCTCATCTTCATCATCTTTCTCTCTGGTGTGATGTTTCACAGCTGAGAGGCTCTCAGAATAAAAAAAATCTCAGATTACACAAACACACTCATCTTCTTCTTCCCCTTCTGCTCGTTCTCTTCCTCTGCTCTCCTCCTTTTCTTCGTCCTATTATTTTACACTTCCTCTCATCATCATCCTCCTCTTCCTCTTTGTCCTCTTTATGCTCTCTGTAAATCCAACAGTCATCCCTTTCTTGCTCGGAGCAGAAGAGGGATTACGACTCAACGATATCTCTGTGTGTGTGTGTGTGTGTGTGTGTGTGTGTGTGTGTGTCTGTGTGTGTCTGTCTGTGTGTGTGTGTGTGTGTGTGTGTGTGTGTCTTCTACCTGAAGCTTAAACCCATTTTACTGATAAAACATTTAAACCTGGTGAATGTTTCATCTCCTGCCTGAAGAAAAAGAAAAACTCCACTGAGTCGTGATGAAGCTAAAAGGTAAAAAAAAAAACATTCACATGTAATTTCACCTGCATGTGAACATCCTGTTTATTTCAGGATGTCCCACTTCTGTGTTTTCACAATAAGAGCGTCTACAGTGTCGTAACATGACGACAAAGTCAAGAAGATGAAACGCTGTCAGGGATTAGATGTTCTGGACAGAAACGTCTTGAAGGACTACAGGGACCTCAACCCTGTAGTCCTTAACCACCTGAATCTTCCTACAGGTCCCATAGAGACCTCTAGAAGGACTAGGATCTCGTAAAGGATCACTAAAACCTCCAACAGTCCCAGAGAACCATTGGAACCTCCTCAATGGACACTACATCCTCCTAACATCTCCTGAACCTCCTAAAGAACTGTAAGAACTTTTAACAATTAATAAAAACCTGTAGAACCTTCTCGGTGATACCCAGAGCCCCCTAGAGACCTACAGAACCCAGAGAGGATCTCCAGAACCTCCTCAACGACCACTACACCCTCTTTTAGAAGCCACATTACCTTCTGAAGGACCACTAGAACCTTCTTAATGACAACATTCTCCTCTCATCAAAAGAACTGCGTCACTGACCACACGAGTCTTCTAAACATCCAAAGAACCTGTAGAACCTTCCATTTAAACACTTAATCATTTGAAATGATCCAAATCTCCTCAACAATAAAGGAACTCAAGAAACATTCCAAGTCTACGTGTGGAATCTTCTGAACGATCATTAGAACCTACAGCTTCTGTCTGTGGCTTTTATTTTGTCACTTTGAGACAACAGGAGGAAGTGGAGTCATGCGACCTTTCAACTTGTGGGACAGATTCTTTGTTGCTCTCATCTGGAACATATGTCATTTACTATCACATCTTATATCTTATACTTCTATTATCTCTCCTTCTTTCTCTCTTTTATCTCTCCGTCTCCTCTTCACCTCCTCGTCCAACTCTGTCTTCTTCGTTTCTCTCTCTCCGTCTCCATCACTGTCTCAGTTAACTGGACGGCAATCCTGCTGCTTGATATTGAAGAACTATCGACTGTCACTATGTGTGTGTGTGTGTGTGTGTGAGTGTGTGTGTGAGTGTGTGTGTGAGTGTCTCACCCCGATCGCTCTGTCTTCTTTATACTGGAGGAAGGCGTTGGTTGTTCCTTTCTTTGCCATGCGGATGCGAGCCAAGCGCACTTTCTGTCAGACAGAAACACAAAGAAAAAACAGCCTCGTCAGCACATCACACACACACACACACACACACACACACACACACACACACACACACACACAGGCAGTGATCGTTGACTTTAAACTCAGGTAACCTGCAGAGCTCAGGTTTAGATGTTAAAACAGTTTTGCCTCTTTAAAGGTTTATTCCGTCACATCTCACTGACGCCCTGACACACTCACATGATGATTATTGACGTGTTAACATTATTGTTCACGGAACATGAAGCGTGTTCAAGTTAACTAATCTGCGATATATTGAAATCAATACCAACGTTTTCACCTTGAACCAGCAGCTTGATTAAAAACAGTGGGATGGTTCAGTGAGTGTGAACACGGAGAATGTTTGCTGTTTTCAGACCTGCACTGAAGTCCGAACATTTTCCTGAAAGTTTCTTTAGGTGAGAACAAATATCTGAGTTAGTTGCTCTCGACGTTTTCTGGATCTTTTCTTGGAGCCTCAGAGTAAAATGTCCGAGTGAGAAAAAACGCCAGGAACATGTCTGCAAACTTCACAGTGAGCGAGTGGACGTGTTGACGAGGTTTCCAACACGTGACGGAAACTGGAAGAAGAAAAATATCTATAAATAAAATAAAAGTGAAGCTGAACTTTAGATAAAAAGAACTAGAAGTTATTAAAGAGTTTATCTCCAGTTTTCAGCTGGAAACTTTTAAAATATGAAGAGTTCTGAACAGAGTTTGGTGGATTTTTTTCCGCGGCAGCTCTCAGAGGATCATGGGTAATATCTGTTTAGATTGATATACTTTTGTTTTTTTCTCTACAGGAAGATCACTTCATACCTCGGACACGCAGAGGGCGCTGTTGCTCGGTAACAGTAACATATAGTGTTGCTTTAAGTCAGTGTTTGTGCCACAGATAAAGAGTCAGACCTGCTGAGCCCTCATCTTGTCCGCTCTCTGGTTCTGGTGGTAGATTCGGCTGAAGTTGGAGACGATGACGGGGACGGGGAGCGCGATCACCAGGACGCCGCTCAGAGAGCAGATGGAGCCGAAGATCTTCCCTGCGATGGTGTTGGGAACCATGTCACCGTATCTACAGGGAGAAACAGGCGGTCACGTTATCGGTCGATGTCACAGCCTGAAAATCCCCAAACGCTTTTTCTCCTGTATTAAATAATAGTTGAGGAAAAAACACATCGAAGATTAAACGAGAAAAATACAACTTCTCTTAAAGGAATAATCCTCCTGTGCATTATTACATTTACAGAAGTCAATAGAAAGATAGACACACAGATACACGGATAGATACAAAGCTGATTTCTCCTCATAAGATCTCCCAGTCTTCACACACACACACACACACACACACACAGGTTGCTGGTTGCGGCCTTCACCTTTCATTGTACCGAGCCATAAATCACAGGAGCAGAGACGAGGAAGAGGAGATTAGAGTGTGGGCAGGAGGCCAGGACGGTCTGAGACACAGCGAGGAAGAACAAACTCTTCACCGCTGCACAGAGTCACAGTTTCTCTGTGAAACTGCTGAACTGTTTTTTATTTTCAAATCCGTGTTTTTAAGTTTACGTGCGTTTCGTGCGACGGCTGCAGGACGTTTCTGTTCCGAGCTTCACTCTGTGACGGGAGAAGCTGCAGCTCTGGTGACAGACTCCTGATCGGACCAGATTAATAGATTTCTCTGCTGCATCACTGAGCTCTGGCACACAACTCAACACTTCCTGTGTCTGATAACAGGAACTGCATTTTAATAAACTCACTGAGCCAAAGACAATTTGATCATCACCCACAGGAACATAAATCAAACACAAATGAAGGTGCAGGGCGACACACACACAGTCTCCGAGACACCTTTATACTAACACTAATCAACATGGATTTTAAATCATCCCTCAAAACGTACTAGTTTTTCTTATCTTTATTTGTCCTCTCTGTGAATCACTCTGTAATTCCAGGTTCCGTATAAATAAAGTTTTAATTGTATGAACACCAACAATATTACAGGACTGATGTCCTAATGTTAACACAGGGGGCGCTATCATAAGATATATATGAAACATGTTCCTACAGAATATTTAGAGTAAAATAAAGATGGACGACATGACAGCTCCACAAAAGTGAAGCCAAATTGTCGCCCCCTGCTGACCGGCTGATGATTGACAGCTGAGACTGACGTGTGATTGGTGGAACCTCGACACCACAGCTCCACGATCACAGACTCTGCATGATGTTTATTTAGTTTGAAGATCCGAGCACGTTAGACCGGTTTGTGTCACACTGATACACGAAGACATTTAACTCAAAGTAGAAATGTAAGAATAAAGAGGAAGTGAGGTCACGGAGCGTTCGAATCACACATACAAAATAAAACCTTCCGCTTCAGAATAATCCCCAACAATAAAATGAACGTCATTTAAATGTAAAGCATAATGTTTATAAATGAACTCAACATTTAAATGTGAATTTTCACTCTGAGATAAAAGGCAGAGAATCACAGCAAACTTCAAATGACGGAGGAGACTCGGAATAAAACGTGTGACGCTGCACAGCTTTGAAATTACCTTCCAAGTTTTTTTTTTTTTGGTAAATCACCTCACAGATATGAGCATTAACGCAGCAGACCAGGTCGTGGCCTTATTTTCTGAAGGACTGAGACATAATCCACTGCGGCAGGAACACCAGCCCCGAGCTGCAGCTCATTACCTGGATATCTGATCTGCTGAACGGGCTGAGCTGATTTACATGTCTGAATATAAAGAGTTTCATTTCCTCCTCTGGAAAAAAAAAAGTGGAATCATTCTTGTAAAAAACGAAGCATTTTATCAGAAAGAAAACAAATCACACAGACGTCATCGTTGTTTTAAGTGAAGCGGCGAAGTGAAGGATGATTCACAGCGACTGTAGAGTCTTTATTGTGTTTGTGCTGAACTCAACCACGATGATGAATCATTTCAGAAAGTTTGAAATCACTGAATAATTGAAGTCAAATAAAAATAGAATTTTGCACATAAATCAAAACATATCTCTTCAGTGTTTGGTTTGGCTTGTGGACCCCAGATCAGCTCATATTTGATCCATCTTCTGCAGTAGTAGCGCCCCCTGTGAACAACGACAGGAAATGGATTGTAAATAAGGATGAACGACGCGTCACCACTTCCTCCCATTATCCAGAAACGAAGCCAAAATATCTCAGATACAAACCACAACTATAAATTTTAATATAAATAATTATAAATAAATTTTTAAAAAATTATTAAAACCAAATATATAGAAGTAGAATTAATTAATTCATTGTATTCATATATTTTCTGTATTTATTTACTATGTGTCTGTCTCTATTTCTCTCTTCTTTAAAACGATCGTTTATATGTTTAAATTCAGGAGAATCCATCAACCTGATCACAGCTGACGTCCCGGTGTAATTATGAGGAAATGTAAAAACGGTCCCTGAACTCAACTTCATTATCCTCCATCCATTATCTGCACACTTAACCTCTGAGGGAGCTGGAGCCAATCCCGGCTGACTATTGGGCGGGAGGCGGGGCTCACCGGGGACTGGTGGTGAACGGTTTGTGAAAAGAGTAAAAATCACACTCGAGCGTCTTAAATAATTCGACGTCGTTGAACTGGCTGACAGGTTTGTTTCTCTGGATCTGCAGGAACTCAGCGTCTGTGTGACGACAGAGCTCAGGTCAGTTTCACTGGCCCCTCAGCAGGGAGCCATATTGGCAGCTGGGAGCCGATCGATGCAGATAACAGAGCGGGCCGAGAGGAACAGAGGCCATCTGTAATTGTTGGCAAGAAGCGCTCGGATAAATCGACTGAGACGTCAGACTGAGGCCAAACAGCCGGGATGGATCTTTGCTGGATCACTAACTGAGTCCTCCCTGAATGTCAACCAGACCTAAATCTGACCCCGACGCAAACTCACTCACGTTTGACTTCATTAATTATAACTCTGCAGAGAAGTCATGACGCTTTCCAGGCTCCAGAACAGAGTTCAGAAAGATACAGTTTGAAATATGTACCGCAGATTTTACTGGAAATCTTAAAGTGATAGTTCACCGAAAAACTCCTTTTCCTCTTTTCAGCCGATGTTGATCTGAGGAAGTGAAATAGGAAGTAAACATTCGGAGGGAAGGGTTCAGTCCAGGGTGTGTGGAAGCTGTTTTCTACCAGAGGATGAAGATCGAAACCCCGAGTGGACGTCATCATCTTAGAAAAGGGGCAACAACAAACTCGATACACAAAAAAACTATCGTTACTATTTACAATATAAACAAAGTTAAAAAATATTGAAGTACGAGGAAACACTCGGCGGAGATCAAGTCGGGTTTGAGGCTAACAGCTATCTGGCGTTGACAGGAAGTGAACCGCCGGGCAGAGCGGAGAGAGCGGAAGTGCATCACACTAGATTGTGCAAGTAGAGAAGAGACTCAAAAACAGAAACACCTGCTAAACACTAGTGACCTCAACAAGTCATATAACTCCATTAACCCTGGTCACACACACACACACACACACACACACACACACACACACATACACACACACACACAGTCTTGTAATCGTAAAGCGTCCTGCTGCTGTTTGCGTGTTTTTATGATCAGAGAGCAGCAGTAAATCTGTAGCAGCCTTCAGTCTACAGCCGAGCATCACATGCAGTGCACCTTTAATGGGCCATTAATGCTGCTGTGTGTGTGTGTGTGTGTGTGTGTGTGTGTGTGTTGTTCCCTGAGATGAACTTGACTCGTGTCACGTTATGAACTTGAAACAAACGACAGTGTCACTACAGCAGCAAACTCAGTCACACACGAACCTGAACAGTGAATCAAAAGTCCGCAGCTGAAAATCGTTTGTCTGATATAAAATCCCAGTGATGTTTATTATTATCGGAGCCTGAATCTTTACGTGCGAGTCATTTTCAAAGATTTACATCGACCAATGAGCTCAGAGCGGAGAGCCACAGACAGGAAGTGCAGACGACGACGTGGCGGTTTGAAATTAAAGAGGAAGAATTCTAGATTCATACTTGATAATGAGTTTGATGAAACGCATTCTCCCTGTGTTTGTCTGCGTCAAAATAAAAGTAGAAGAAAAGAAGGTCAAGAGGTCGGCCAGTCACTCTACCCAGAATCCCCTGCAGACATACACACACACACACACACACACACACACACACATAAAGCATGGTTCATGTTCAACTTACTGACATAATCTCCACCACACACATACACATTTGCATTGTATGTAGACACAAACACAACATACATACATAATAGAGGCAGCCCCCCCAACACACACACACACACACACACACAAACACACACACACACACACACACACATCCTCTTGCATGTAGAACAACACACAGTTACATTCAAGGTTTATATTTAACTCATTCAGACAAAAAATAAGATTTTATTGATTTATCTTGTTCACTGACCTGAAGAGAATTACTGTAACACACACACACACACACACACACACACACACACACACACAAAGCCGATACAATACTAATCTTATGCTGATTCAGCTCAGTCTCAGTAGCAGGATCCTCGGTGTGGCCCACAGCTTCAGCTCATTGTTCCCGTTCACTGAACCATGACGTCAAATGAAAACATGAACAACACCTGTGATTAATCGGTTTCACGCAGCGGAGCCCGACACGTCCGCTGAAACACGATGAAGACCATAATCTAACATGGCTGTTGTTCAGTCTCATTAGAGCTCAACGTCCACACGGACTCGTCTGTGTTCATGAACGTCTTCGCAACGATCAAAGATACAACGGAGCAGCCACAGCAGAAAACGATGGGGGTCAGCGAAGCCGCTAGTTCAGACGATGACCACAAGACACTGCGGGCGTCTTTATGACATCATCACAACCTCCTCCACCGTCACTCTGGACTCTGCACTGCCCTCTAGTGGAAGCAGAAGTACGTGGGCATTGGTGGTTACATCGTTAATCTGTTCGTACGTAAAAGCAGCATAGATAAATCTTTCAGCCTCTTTTATTACAATCGATTCTTCCTTTAGCCGTGAACCTTCGTGTAAAGCACTTTGTAACCTCGT